GACCTCTTCAGGGAAAATTACCAACCACTGCTCAAGGAAATAAGAGAGGACACAAACAAGTGGAAAAACATCCCATGCTCATGGATAGGATGAATCAATATCGTGAAAATGGCTATACTGCCCAAAGTAATTTATAGATTCAATGCTATCCCCATCAAGCTACCACTGACTTTCTTCACAGAATTGGAAAAACTACTTTAAAGTTCAAATGGAACAAAAAAAGAGCCCACATAGCCAAGACAATCCTGGACAAGAAGAACAAAGCTGGAGGCATCCCACTACCTGACTTCAAACTATACTACAAGGCCTCAGTAACCAAAACAGCATGGCACTGGTACCAAAACAGAGATATAGACCAATGAAACAGAACAGAGGCCTCAGAAATAACACCACACGTCTACAACCAACTGATCTTTGACAAACCTGACACAAACAAGCAATGGGGAAAATATTACCTATTTAATAAATGGTGTTGGGAAACCTGCTAGCCATATATGGAAAACAGAAACTGGACCCCTTCCTTACATCTTATATGAAAATCAACTCAAGATGAATCAAAGACTTAAACGTAAGATCTAGGACCATAAAAATCCTAGAAGAAAACCTGGGCAATACCATTCAAGGCAGGCATGGGCAAAGACTTCATGTCTGAAACACCAAAAGCAATGGCAACAACAACCAAAATACACAAATGGGATCTAATTAAACTAAAGAACTTCGGAACAGCAAAAGAAACTATCATCAGAGTGAACAGGCAACCTACAGAATGGGAGAAAATGTTTGCAATTTATCCATCTGACAAAGGGCTAATATCCAGAATCTACAGAGAATTTAAACAAATTTACAAGAAAAATTATGGGCACGGTGGCTCATGCCTGTAATCCCAGCACTTTGGGAGGCCAAGGCGGGTGGATCACGAGGTCAGGAGTTTGAGACCAGCCTGGCCAATATGGTGAAACCCTGTCTCTACTAAAAATACAAAAATTAGCTGGGCTTGGTGGCACACGCCTGAAGTCCCAGCTACTCGGGAGGCTGAGACAGAAGAATCACTTGAACCAGGGAGGCGGAGGTTGCAGTGAGCTGAGATTGCGCCACTGCACTCCAGCCTGGGTGGCAAAGCGAGACTCCACCAAAAAACAAACAAACAAACAAACAAAAAAACGAATTTAAAAGAAAAAAACCACCCCATCAAAAAGTGGGCAAAGGATATGAACATATACTTCTCAAAAGAAGACATTTATGCAGCCAACAAACATATGAAAAAATGCTCATCATCACTGTTCATTAGAGAAATGCAAATCAAAACCACAATGAGATACCATCTCATGCCAGTTAGAATGGCAATCATCAAAAAGTTAGGAAACAACAGATACTAGAGAGAATGTGGAGAAATAGGGATGCTTTAACACTGTTGGTGGGAGTGTAAATTAGTTCAACCATTGTGGATGACAGTGTGGTGAATCCTCAAGGATCTAGAACTAGAAATACCATTTGACCCAGCAATCCCATTACTGGGTATATACCCAAAGGATTATAAATCATTCTACTATAAAGACATATACACATGTATGTTTACTGCAGTACTATTCACAATAGCAAAGACTTGGAACCAACCCAAATGTCCATCAATAATGAACTGGATAAAGAAAATGTGGCACATATACACACACCATGGAATACTGTGCAGCCATAAAAAAAGATGAGTTCATGTCCTTTGCAGGGACATGGACGAAGCTGAAAACCATCATTCTCAGCAAACTATCACAAGAACAGAAAACCAAACACCACATGTTCTCACTCATAAGTGGGAGTTGAACAATGAGAACACATGGACACAGGGAGGGAAACATCACACAGTGGGGCCTGTCTGGGGGCGGGAGTTAGAGGAGGGATAACATTAGGAGAAATACCTAATGTAAGTGACGGGTTGATGGGTGCAGCAAACCACCATGGCAAGCGTATACTTACGTAACAAAACTGCACATTCTGAACATGTACCCCAGAACTTAAAGTATAATAAAAAAACTAAGTAAAAATAAATTTTAAAATAAGATATATACAACATCCAAGAAGAAAAAGGAAGTAATATGACCCTTCCTGTGATGCAGCTTCTCAGTTCTTACATTCATTTTAAGAAGACCCTTAGAAAACTGGAGGGTGCAGTTGTCATTCTTTGGAGCTTAGAGTAAATTTTCTTCTCCTTAATGTCCCTATGGCACCTTGTGTGTTGCTCACTTTTGTATCATTCTGCCATGTCATACATTGGAATTATACACAAATAACACTGAACGAATATACTTCAGGTTGCACACTATTCTCAGCTTCGGAGATCTAGGGTCTCACAACCTGATGATGAAGATAAATAAGAAAACAAATCATTACTACACAGTGTGTGAGGTGATGTACTGAAGTACCCACAGGAAGTACAGAGGGAGTTACCAAGGAATATGCACATGTCCTGATAAACTGCAGGCTTCCTGAGGAAAAGGGCCATGTACTCCCCTGACACGTGGCCCTGGATTTCTCACCAGGTTATGGGTTCAGAAAACAGTATTTAATTATGTGTTCTTTGATTGAGGGCAACTAGGCCAGTAAGTAATCTGGAAACCATATTTGCTGGAAGACTTTAACTAGGTTAATTTTAACCCCAAGGAGAGAAGACTGGAAAAAGGTATATTATTCCCTCTATTTCAAGGATTGTTATGTAGTAGAGGGAACCAACTTATTCTGAAACATTCCAGGGGGCAGAAACTTCAACCCATTAATCCTGGTTCTGACTCCCATAGTGTTAAAGAATATATTTCTTACATAGTAGAGAACCTTAGCATTGCTGAATAAGGAGAAAGCATAGGTGAAGCTAATTGAAATAAAGTGACTATTAGGGGTAAGTTTGATTACAGTTTTTCCAGCTTTTGTCACCCTGACACTCATGTTTTATACTACTCAACCGATCAACATCTCAGAAACTTACTAGAATGGCTAGCTGCACTTACAGACATATTTTATTGCTTAAATTTAAAGATAATAGATATGAAGCCCTTAACTAAAAAATCAGAATTTCACCCTTTAATAAGCATTTCAAATCCACTAATCTTAATCATATCCCACAGAAGTAGTTGGTTAATAAATTGCATCAACTCTCATTTTTTTGTTTTATGAAAACAAAAGCCCTTGAAGCCGCCACTGGGCATATGAACTGGGAAGAAGTGTCCTGACCAGAGTTTTCTGTCATCTCTGTGCTTCAAGTATCACACAGAAGGGCACAAACTCTCACAATAAATATGTCATCAAGATGGAAGAATATTTTTTCATCACAAAAATAAACTATGTTTCCTGTCTTCCACTAGCATTTTTATCCATCCCCTCGGACTAAGGAGACCCAGTGGACTCTCGAAGGCTGTACCCCCGAAAAGCAAGACATCAGTTTCACTGTCAGCTGGATGCCAGAGAAGTGCAAACAAAGCAGCATGTCCCTGATGTAAACTGGCCCACGGTGCCACAGATCCTAGGAACTCTGAAGGAGCCAACAGCAGTAGCAACAACAAAACAGCATTAAGGCTACATTCCCCTGCTAGCTCCATTGCCAAATATTTATGGAAAAGCCCCTACTTCTCCAAGCCCCCCGTCCCTCCGGAGAATGCTTTCATTTGATTGCTTCAGTATTGAAACTCTTCAACAATAGCATCTGTCACTGTCAGGTTTCTGGAGGTAAAACTGCTGTGTGATGATCATGTTGGTTGAAAGAAGAGTGAACTGAGACCACAGAACCCATCTGTTACCTTCTAGTCTCCTAGCAGGAATTTCACGTGATTCTACTCATTTCCTTTGGACCTAGCTAGATTACTACTACTGTATAATAATAGGCAACTGTTGCTTTAAAGCACAAGCTTTTGATGCTTTTTATAATCCCTATTAGTGATAGGTCCTATAGAACAATAATCAGTGGAAATTATATATACGTATTTGGTAGGATCTCATAAGAATTTACATAGGAAAGATTAAGTCCTTTAATCTTACATAGAAAAGATTGAGTCCATTAATCTTTGAGTTTTAGAAAGTTGTGATAAGTAATTTATCATAATGATCTATTGTCTAGAGTCTTTTGAAGGGTAATATAAACACTCAATCTATTTGTGACTTTAAAACACCTTTTGGTTTTTTAAAGTCCAGAATGACAGGCTGGTGGAGCTGGAAGTCAAGTTAGAACTGTGACAAATGAATTCAGGAAGTCTTTCCATCCAGCCCCTGTTCTATTTGGCAGTAAAACTAGAAGACATATTAGGCAGAAAGGAAATGGTTGTTTCTATCTATTTATCTAACCTCTTTCCACAGCAAAAGATGACAGGTTAACTACTACTTTTCTACAAATGCGTTCCCTACTCCACTCCTGGCCCACACCAAATTCTTGTAGAAAGCCTTGGCATACAAATTGTTGGTTAACAACTAGACTGTCTTTCTAGTTGTTCAAAGGGAATTGAAAATCTTTTTGTAGAGTGTCTTATTAGATTTTCATCTGGAAAAATTCACTGTTCCATTTTTTAACTGCAATAGTGAAAGAGGAATTTTGCTGATCCAGACCTGCTTTTTAAAGAATGACCTTCATTGATTGACCCTTAGAAGGAACATTCACTGAATTCAATGATTTATTCAACTAAGAACATTTCTTGAGGATCTACCATGTGGCCAGGAACCTTGCTAGATGCTAAGGGCAAAAGGATGAACAAGGAAGAAATGGCCTCTGTCCTCAGGAGCTAAACTCTAGCAGTCCAAATAACAGAATCTCCTGGAGGCATGTCCTCTGCCGTCCTCTCAGCATATCTACAACTACTTCTTTCTTTCAGAAGATGACTAAAAATGAAGCTTTATTTAACTTTTCTTAGAACAAGCTTAGGTATACATAAATAGATAAATTTCAAATACACTGTCATACATAAGCATTCTCACATTAACATCTTTTAAAACCTCTAAACACTTCTGCGAGAAATAAACGTATTTCTTGCCTTTAGTATGATGTTCATGAAGCTGAAGAAGTGATTTTAAGGACTCAGCATTCTCAAACTCATGAGTATTCTGGAGGAAATCTTCAGCTTGGTCTATTTTAATAGCAAACTACAATAGAAATACAGAGGAAAGACATTTGTATAAAAATTAATGTGCCATTGTTAGTTACCTGTAGATGTTTTTCATAAATTAGTAGCCCAACTGGGGATGTGTGTTTGTGCAAGGGTATATGTTCGTATGTGTTTGTGTGAGTGTGTGTTGGCTTACGGTGTTTGTGTGAGGGTGTGTGTTTGCATGTGGTCAATTTACAAAGTGTCATTGGTAAGAACTTTCTTCTCCTTTCATACCTAATTTTGTATGCTGAAATAAACCAACCTGTTTCCTGTCCAAATGCCTATCAAATTTTTCAAACAAAATTATAATGTCCTATGTATACAGTCACTTTCAACATTCTAAGGCACTTAATTAAGAATAAGCAGATAGTTAGCTAAGGGAAACCAGGAAGAGGTTAACTAGAAAGTAATCTACACATTTACAAGTAAATGTAGCTTAAGAACTCACTTAGAGAGAAAGTTGAAGTATAGTTATTTTTTCCCTCTATAATTGAACTTAGCAGTGAAATATGCAAGTTTCCAAATAATACATAGTCTAATCCATATCTAATCCTATACATATATTTGTATAGAAAGCGGTCTGAAAAAATACACACCAAATGATGACTTAATGAGAAGAAATGAAATTAAGGATGAGCAAGAGGAGGTAAAATTTTAATATTTGAATCTATAATTTGTAATTCTGTTTGCATTTTTATCAATCGTTTGTATGCATTACATCTATAAATAAAATGAGATTAGATGGAGCGAGAATGACAAGTGAGAAATTTATCCTCTCTTTCAAGGAAAATGCATAGCAATTTCACACTCTAAATGGTGAGGAACATGACTGGTCTCTCTTTTTCTTTTTCTCCATAGAGGCAGTGGGAAATTGAGAGAGATAATTAACGTGATGTTAAAATGCTCAGGAAAATCATCTTAGAAATAAATTTTAGAAGACGGCAAAATGCATTTGGTTATCCTGTCACAGTATGTCTATAGTGGTAGACAAATAGCTGGCTTGTTTTAGCACTAAGATTCAATAGTAATTATCACAATTTATATGAGCATTTCAATATATTCACCTTTGGATTAGGTTTAGGATAAACTAATTAAGGACAAGTATCAGTGTAAAAGACACAGAAGCTTGCGATGTTACTTATCTTCTGTTTCAAGTCTTCTCCAAACTATCATCTTTGAATCTGGGGATTCTTAATATTTTAATGTAACTATTTGATTAACACAATCGACTGTAGTTTATTACAACAGCCATATGAAATCCAATTATAAATGAAATGGAATGACGAGAGAGAGACCGAAGAGCATGGGACATGTTTTGGAAATGCAAGGCAGGCCTCTGTTATCCTATCAGAACAACCTGATGGACATCTGCTGCTGCCACTCAGGGGCGGTGTTTCTAAATTATAGCACAGTGTTTGAGGTGAGAATAACCCAACTGATAGTTATGTCTGTGAGTGAGCCTGAAATAATCTTGTAATAATGATCAACCATGCAATCATTATTAATTTTTAATTTCTCAAAAACTTCTGCATGTACATAATTCAATAAGGGAGTCAATATCCACATCATTTACATCTCTAATTCACTCAATTTCTAATAACTGATTTTTAAAATATTATTTAAAGAGAATCTTCAAAAAGAAAAAAAATCCTAGTAGGTGGTTTGTTTGTTACCTGCAGAACATTACAAAAAGTTCCAGGGTCACTGTTTAACTTATATTTATATTTCAGTTTGTTATCAAATTAAAAATAAACCAATAAGCAAACAATGCTTTACTCAGAAAAAAGCTTCCCTAAAGTTCTGTTTACTTTTATCGGTATTTTCCTTTCTCCACTCTCTTTTATCACTAAAGAAATGGCTTTGGCATACAAAGGGGGCATAAGGATTATATAGCAGTTTGTCTTCAGTTTAATATGAAGTGATTCACAAAATTGGAAATGGGATAATACAAGTAATAATTAGTCTTTTCACTAGAAGCAATAAAAGCTCACGCAAGTGTAAGAATAACAGTGTTGGGTTGAATCATGGTTTGGCCTGCTATTTCCTTTTACTTCATGTTATATCGGAAAGCAATTTACTCATCATGGAGAAGATAAGCTAGCATTAACACTAAAGCACAATGAGAAACAAATATTGCTCTAACGCTAGAAAAAGAAGAAAATTTCCTGGACTCAAAACAGATGAGTTTCAAGGACAGTTGACACATGTACCCTACTTACTAAGATAGAATGAGTCAGATATATCCATAATTTGGCGTCTGTAGGTATATTTCAGCTGTTTTATTTATTTTCAGGGAAGAAAGATTGTGTATGAAACTTCTTCCAAGATGGTCTCTGAAATGAGTTAAACTTCAGTGTTCAAACTGTGAAAAACAAGCCTTGAAAGTTATAATAAGGTTTTTATTCCTCCCTTTTGCTTTTAAACAAGTTCATGATGCATGAGATTGCCTACTCCAATTTTTAGGTTCCATTACTAATCTTCTTTCCTTCATTATTTTGGATTTAAGTACTGAATTTTTAGTTTAGAAATGTCATATTTTTCAAAGCTAGTGCTTTATCATAATGAAGCAGTGCTCTCACATCAAAATGAATGGGCTGCCACTTGACAGAGAAGTTAAAAGTGAAATTTCCAATAACTGTCTTATACCAAATATAATACCTCTTTTGATAATGTTCTTTGAAACTCACATTTTGAAATGAGAAACCTCAAAAAATTGTAGAATTCGAGAAAACTCACATGGAGACATGACCTTCTTAGGTCCAGAAGGACTTTTTCCTTCTCTTGTATGGTAAGGTGTTCAAACTATGGAAAATCAACTATACGCCTTAGGAAAGTACTCAGAAAATGCTATATTTATGAATCAAATATCCTATGGAATATTCTATAATTACCTTTTTAAAACATAGGCAGCAAAAGGAAATTTTATTCTCCAACTTTTAGCCAAGAACAACACTCTAGACCAGCATTTCTTAGTAATCCTACAATCAGGGTAATTGTTTGATTTAGTAATTGTATTACTACCTTCTATAGAGGGAAATAATCATAATGACTTATGAGCATTCCCATTATTACTTAATATTTTACCAAATTTTAGTTACTTAACTGTACTTTGTTTTTGTTTGAAGACCTACTCTTAAAATAGTAATAATTTTATTTATTGACAATCAAAAAATAAATATATTGTCTATGTATGTCTTGGTTATTCTGCCATTTTTTTAACTGCTTGCAATGTCTATTTGTGGAAAAACAAACATTTTCAGGAGTGCTATTAATTTGCTCTGATGTGGGGAAGGGAGAAGTTTTTTAAAGCACAAACCTCCAAGGCATTTTCAAAAAATTCAGAAGTCAACCTAAGGAGCTCCATTCTTCTTTCAAGCATGGACACCAGGGCTGCCCATGCTTCACCCAGAGTCTCGGCCATGGCGTCGTAGACCTGACTCTGATCCTTGTTCTCTTCAGCTGTCTTGTCTGCTTCCTGCAAGAGTTCCCATACCCGATCTTCCAAAGCCTAAGTACAAAAGAAAAGGCATAAGGCAGGATGTTAACTCAATGTAAGAACACAGGATCACATTTTAAACACTTGGATATTAGAAATTGTATGTGGTCTAGGAAAGATAATTTATAAACACAAACTGTTATACAAGAAAGTATATCAAATAGGAAGGAAGGAGCGATTGGATTGAGGTGAGCCAGGAAGCATGGCCAGGCTAAAGGGATTCACATTTAAACATTGCCCAAACACTGCTGACATCTGTCAAAGACACATGTCTACATTCCCAAGGGGTATAGAATATTATGTTAATCTCACAGTTCCAAAAAAAATAAGAAAAGTAATAAGAACACACCTAGAAGAATGATCAAGAATAAAGGTTGTGAGAAACAAGCCCAGTAAAGCTTACTGTTTATTGCAAATAATTGTCATTAGTTGTTAATATGACCATGATGCTTAATGTAAATATTAAGAGTAGATTTTTAAACCAGAATAGTCATAATTTAAAATTTAAGATATCTATAACCAACATTATCTACTGTTTAAACAAAATACGAAAAATGAAAAAGAACATGTGCTTACATAATTGTCTCATTCAGGGATAGGAGGATGTAATAAGTTCCATATAATTCTTGAAGTTAGCACCAAAATAAAGGCATAATTTTTAAAGAGTACAGTAGACTAAAATAGTATGAATAAATTCTAAAATATCAACATAAAAAGGAACTTAAAAATGTGATAAAGAAAAATACAACAAAGAAAACAAAAGAAATAAGAGCAGGTTCATAAGGACACACGCACACACACACACAAACATAATGACAAGTACATAATTAAATATCAATTAACACAAAAAATGTGGATGAGCTAACTTTTTAAACAAAAAGACAAACGCTATCACACTGAGGAAAAAAAGGCAGCAAAATTCAACCAATATGTGTTTCCTAGAGTGTCCCTAAAAAGAAATACTTCTTGAAAATAAAGAGATGAGATATATCAGGCAAAGACAGACAAGAGAAAGCAGGACTATAATATTGAACAAATTAGAATCAAAACTAAAATCACTGATGCTTAAAAATGGCATTTATAATGATAAATAGTGCAATCCACAGTAAGGACACTCATGAACCTTTGTATCTGTGGCACTGAAATATTACAAGTAAATATAAGCAGTCTTACATCAAATGAACAGAGAATAAGAACTACAATTATAGACTGTTTTTAAAAATAATAATAAGGCTACTACATTTAAAAACTTTAAATATACAGCTAACCTTATGCTCAGGTTAAATACATAGTATTAGACAACTTAAACAAAGAAAGAAAACAAATTATCTCAACATCTAGCTCTAAATTATTTAAAAAATAAAACAACAAATTAAGGGGGATAAACTGATTTAATACAAAATCAGAAATTAGCAGTTTAGATTAAAATATTAGAATTGATTTTTAAGTTGATTAATTAAAAACCCAATGAAATATTAAAACAGCTGACAGATGTCAATAAAAATGGGAGAGTAGATAGCTCCAAGTGACCATTCCTGTAGAGAAACATCAGAAAACGCTGGGAGGTTGAGGTGGGCGGATCACGAGGTCAGGAGATCGAGACCATCCTGACTAACATGGTGAAACCCCATCTCTACTAAAAATGCAAAAAAATTAGCTGAGTGTGGCGGCGGGCGCCTGTAGTCCCAGCTACTAGGGACGCTGAGGCAGGAGAATGGCGTGAACCCGGGAGGCAGAGCTTGCAGTGAGCTGAGATAGTGCCACTGCACTCCAGCCTGGGTGACAGAGCGAGCCTCTGCCTCAGAAACAAACAAACAAACAAACAAAAACACAAGCAAAAACTGTCTTATTTTTGTTAGAACTCTGGAAAGTAGTCAAAGATTTACAGCCACCAAACAAAGGCTGAAGCAAGAAAAAGGTGACTTAAAAATGGTAGAAAAGCTTTGAGATATTTTTACATGCCCTTGCTCAACCCCTCCTGGGTTCAGCAGAGACTATTAGAGTGGATAAGAATAATAAGACTCAACTGTATATTGTTCACAAGAAACCTACTCCAAATATAAAGGCAGAAGTGCATTAAAAGTAAATGAAGTGGAGTAACAATGTGAGGTGATATGTCAATTAACTCAATTAATTTAACATGTGTTAATTATTTTGCAACATATACATACCTCAAAACATCATATTGTATAACTTAGGTGTATACAATTTTTAGTTGTCAATTATAACTCAATAAAGCTGGGTGGAAAATAAAGTAAATGGATGGAGAAAGATGTACCATGCTAACACTAATCTAAAGAAAGATGGAGTAGCTATGTTAATTCTAGACAGATAATATTTTAGAGCAAGGAATATTATTTGAGATTAAGATGGGTGTCACATAATAATACAGGAGTCAATCTACAAGAAGGCACGACAATTCTAAATGTGCATGAGCCTAACAACAGAGAGTCAAAATATATGAGGCAAAAATTAATAGAACTGCATGGAAAAATAGATAAATATACTATAATAGAGACTTCAACATCCTTCTATCAGTAGTCATTATATCCAGCAGACTGAAAATTATTAAGTATATAGATGAACTGAACAGCACCATCAGTCAACTTGATCTAATTGCCATTTATACAATAATTCCTCCAACAATGCATAACATACTTCCTCTCAAGCTTACATGGAACATTCATCAAGATAGGCCATATCCTGGGCCATAAAACATACCTTAACAAATTTTTAAAAACAGAAATCATACAAATGTACTCTCAGACCACAAAAGAATTAAACTACATATCAATAACAGAAATATAACCAAAAATACCACAATATTTTAATATTAAACAATACACTTTTAAATAACACATGGGTCAAAGAAGTCTCAGGGAAATATAAGTATTTTGAACTAAATGAGAAAATGAAAATACGATGTATCAAAATTTTTAAGATGCCACAATAGTAGTGCTTAAAGAAAATTTTATAGCATTGAATATATACATATATATGAAATGAAAAAAGACCTAAAATCAATATTCTGAGTTTTCACCATAGGAACTAGAAAAAGAGAGTAAATTAAAGCTTAAGTAAACAGAAGAAAATAATAACAATTAGAGGAGGAATCAATGAAATGAAAACAACAGAGAAAATCAATGAAAGCAAAAACGAGTTCTAGAAAAAGATCAATAAAATTGATAAATCTCTACTTAGGCTAATCAAGAAAGAAAGAGAAAAGAAACAAACTACTAATATTGGAAATGAAAGAGGGGCCACAACTACTGATCCCATGGACATTAAAAAGATAAAAAGGAATACTATAAGTGGCTCTATGCCCATAAATTTGATAACTGAGATGAAATGGACAAATTCCTTGAAAGACACAATCTACCAAAACTCACACAAGAAAAAATAGGTAATCTGAACAAGTCTATATCTATTAAAAAATTAAATCAATAATTAACAACCTTCCAAATAAGAAAGCACTAGGCCCAGGTGACTACACTGGTGAATTCTACCAAATGTTTAAAGAAGAAATGATGCTAAAGCTACTTAATAAATTCAGCAAAGTTACAGAGTATGAGATCAACACACACAAAAATCAGTTGTGTTTATAAAGAAATGAACAATCTAAAAAGGAAATCAAGAATTTCATTTACAAGACCATCAGAAAGAATCAAATACCTAGGAATATGTTTAACCAAGGAGGTGAAAGACTTGTACATTGAAAACTAAAAATCATTACTGAAAGAAATTGAAGAAGACCTAAATAAATGAAAAGAGAACCCATGTTTATGAGTTGGAAGACAATGTTGCTAAAAAGCAATACTATCTAAAGTAATCCACAGATTCAATGTAATCAATATAAAAATTTCACAGGCTTTTTGACAGAAATTGAAGAG